TTTCGAAAGGAATTTAAAATGAACCGATACGCAGAAAAATGCTAGTATCGTGGTCACCGAGTGTTACAAATTCCTTTTAACTCGTGAATGATCTTTCCAGGTTCCAGCTGTACTAACAGCCACCAGTTGCCTGCACTTCCCGTCAAAGCGGAGGGATCGGACGGTTTTTCGCCAGACCTCCCGCGCGAATGAAGACTCGCGTTAGAAAGTTTCCTCCCGAGGACCCTCGACGGTGGCTCGTTGCTCTGGCGAAAGTTCCCCGAAGAGAATCTTCCGGGACGTTTTGATGGATCTTCGTTGAGCACTCCCGGCGTGATGGCGCGACTCTTTGATCGATTAAGCAGCTGCCAATTCGGTGCTGTAATCTTCCTCCTTTTTAATTTCCTTGCTTTGACGGTGGCGAACTGCCGAGCCTCGAGCCTCGGGCGTTTCAACGAAGTAACTTCGATAGTTGACTTTGATATGGCTTTAGTAAATTAAGGAAGGATGTTAATGATGACGGCTTGTGGATAGTTGGGTTGATCTTACGAACTCCGTTGACAGCAGTATCTTTAACGTGGTTAAACCTTAATGGGGAGTGGGAGTTCATCCAGTGTAATTAGACGTACCTTTATATTTTTAGGATGTGAGACTTCGTTGAATTTATACGTTTGTTAAATACCTAGGGAATAAATTTAAACGTAACACGATGTAGTTATATCCAAGCTCGTTTGTAGCTTTCAGTTATCAACCAGAGACATTTCGATCAGATATCGCGGCTCATAAAAAATCACGTGTACTCGAATAACAGTCGCAGTTCAACGACGATAAAAATCTCGCAAAATCGAAACACAACGCGCCGTTAAACGAAAGAGAGAAACGCCAGTCGCTTTCTTAGAAGTAACAGCAACTTTCCTTGCCATCGAGAAATAAATTTAACCGCGTTCTCGCATGCTTATCTGCCGTTATACGCTTGCCGCGGGAATAATTACTCGAGTTGTAATTTTTACAATGGGCCAGCGCGGCAATGGATATCAGCTCGTATAAATTGAAGTCGCACGCTGTGCATAGCGTCACGGAAAATTTTAATTTCGCTCGCGAATTGAAATTTATTTTAATAATGTCGCTTGACGATAATGGGAAAAAGAAATTGAGCAATAAATTCGAAAACGTCGCAAACATGTTTATCGTGTCATTATAAAATTAAGAATTTTAAATAAAATTAGAATAATTTCTTTTAATTTTACTATTATTAGGTTCACGTACGTTACAGGAGAGGATTAAAAAGAAGCTTGAAAAAGAAAAAATGTTGGCAAGAACATAAAAGTTACAGAATTGGGCATCGTCCAAAAAATACTGGTTCTCAGACCATTGTGTACTTTGCAGACTGTAAGTCACGATCAAGTTTCAAGTTGGTTAGGCATTTCGCAGCGAAGGCGACCGCGATGGAGGTTTCAAAAGATCTATTTCTTAGCTTAATGAGGAGTGAAACGACACGTTCGCCGGTAATGAAATCAATGTGTGCCCCGTAACTACCAACCTAAAAATTTTACGGGCCATTTAACGGCGACTAATAGTATTTCTTCGCGATACACGTTCTTCTCGCAAAGTTACAACCACACCCACATCCTCCTTCTATCGATTCTTATAAATCTCAAGCTACTAACCGTTGCACGTTTATCCTTTCCTATTTTAAATTACTCGTTGCTATATTTTTTCAATAATTATAAATTGGAATTTATACGCTTTCAATCGCGTATAAAAAAAAAATAAATAATGGAAGCTATGTCAAATTTAACTACAACACTATGGAAATCTTGATCTTTGCTTTATTTAAACGCATTCAACTCTCTCTTATTCTGCAAAGAATCAATCGAAATATACTCAAGATTCTGTAGAAAAGAATCACAAACGCTTAAACCTGGTACACTTACTTTCATTTGGTCCAAAACAGGAAGGAAACCCAACACAATTGCGTTTCTATTTCGGTCGCAGATCGTCCGATTCATTTTCCATTCTCCATCGCTATTTTTGCATTCCCGTCGCGTCGAGAGGCAGAATGAACTCGCAATTTGCCGAAAAATCGAACAATTTGACGTCAATTCCGTAGGGCAATAATTGTTTTCGTATTCCCCTTGTCCACCCCTGGGCGTCCTTCATCGATTCCCCGTACTGTCTGCGACCTAATTGAGTGTTCTATTTTCGAAGTACGATTATCATTATAACGGGGGAACGGAGATGTTACGGAGCGATACGTGCGCGTGGCAGGAAAGATTACAATTTCGCTTGCACGGTCAGTCGCTGGTGCAAGCCCGTCTCTGGGCTTTTATTTCCATCGTAGCTCCTAACGAGATATTGATACAGCAACGAGAGAGGCTGTAACTTTCCGGCAGCGGATCTCCTCGCGTATAGACCTCGTCCTCGTCGTTACGCTAAGGGGGATGGGCTCGGTAAATCCGCGTTAGTATGTGCGGAGAGTTGTGAACGTAGACTGTGTAACCACCCTTCTTGTTCTCGAGCATCGTCCATAACATCGTTCCGGAGTTCCACGACAAGCCGTCGGACGACTTGGAAATTTATTATCGAGACGCGCGGGGAAAAAGCGAATCCGACTCCCTGGGACTGGTGTCTTTGCCTATAACCTTTAATTCTCCCGTGGGTGAGCGAGCCGCGACTCTGGATTAAGGATTACCGTAAACCAATCGCTTCGAGGGGAAATTGAGATCGGTGGCTGATTTTTTTAAGTATGGACAACGTTCAAGATTTATTTTTTGAAAAAATAAATGATGTGAAATGAAATAACTTGTCCTATATTGAATGTTTAACCCTTTGCATTCCGAATTTTCTGATTACGGTACATTTTTGTCGAGGCTTACACGACATAGGATCACAAAGTGTTAATAGAAGTTGGAGAGACAAAATAATTTTTCAAGTGACAATTACAATCGTTGATGGGCATCGCGGTTAGCGGAGATCCTGGAATTTTAAACGTCGCTGCACGTAACGACACCTTAACGACAGGGGGTAAACTCCACTGTCCCGGTCGGCGTGCGAGCAATAATTAAACGAGTCGCCTCGATGTACTTGTTACAAAGAAGAGTAAGGAAGAAACAGTTCAAGCGAATACTGCCGTTCTGAATCTTTAACGAGTATACGTTTTACAGGCTACCCACGATATCGGACGAGAGCATAATAAATACATACGTTCGCGAATATATGTTTTCGTACGCGGTGAACAAATAAAAATCGGTCGTAAAAATCTGGTCGTTACGCGAAGAATTCAACGACGTGTGTACGCAGGAAATTTGTTCTTATTCGGCTCACGCAACGGAGCTTGTATGTAACATCGGTTAAGGGGAGTAGACAGTCAAATTGCTCTGAGATAAAGTCTTCTTCAGGAATTAATTCCAAAGGACTGAACGTTTCACACAGTATCTACACTACCACTCAAAAGTATGCGGACACTTGCTTCTGTTCTATAAACCATAGTTTAACTTTGTACGAAAGGTATTTAGAACGCTTATATCAATTGTAATTATTATTGTTATCTTTTTTAAGGTATCTTGCGTAATAGAATTAATTTTTATGTACAAATTATATAATGACTATGCAGAAATAAAATTCCTGTCTAGAAATACAAAATCTAATGCGACAATAACAATGCTTGAGAGAGATAAGAATTAGTGCAAGCGGTAATATCTAACCGCGGCGAATACATCGATAAATCCCATATTTAATTTTAGTGTAGTATTGGTAAATTCCACATACGTAATTTATAACTTAAAACGTTAGATATTTCGTAAGAAAGTAATAAAAGTCGATTTTGGTCACTATTCTAGGTACTTAAATAACTTTTATAATTTATTTTTGTGTACGTCAAAAATAGCACCTGGATACTCATTTCTAAGAAGTCATGCTGATCGTGCAACGAGAGAAATCTATTATTTTCATAGGCGCTTGTAAGCGTTCCCATCGACGTCGAAACGTATCCAACGTGATCGATAAACTACGAACAATGGAAATAGAACGTGGAAGGACGAGGTAGAAAAGACATAACGCAAATATTTGTTTCCAGCGGAAATCGAACACGTTACGTTCCATCTACTACACGATGATATAATGAGACACATGAAATAGGTAAAGGGGCTGCGACAGAAATGTACATATCATTACTTGCGTGAACCGTATTTACTCGCGATTAATACTCATTCTGGAGTTTCTGTTCCACGTGTCAGAGGATTGACAACTACCCCTTCGAAGTAAGAATACTTTACGTCGAAGTGAAATGGTTTCCTGGCGGTTATTTTACCTCACTTTTCAAATAAAGTTCCCGTGTTTGCTTTCATTGAATCTTGATCGTTAAAAACTAATCGATTAAATTTATTTACTTCAAAATGAATTGTAATTGTACATATATTAATTATATAGTGTTGGGTTCCAGTGTAAGCGCAATAAACCGATACGGGTACAGTACTTTAGTGAAGTATATCGCAGCCGAGAAGTGCTGCCTCCAAAGGATTGGAAGTTGGGAGGCAAAGACTGCAAAAACTACCTTATCGACTGGAGTAAAGACATCTTTCATATCTATAGAAGATACAGAAGAGATCTATCTAATGAGACAAGTTTCCACACAAGCAGGGGAGTTCCAAGGCCACCTCGTTATTTTAATATAATATAATATCGAGTGATCAGTCGATCCTGTACCTTACCATGAACCGAAGTAATTGCGTGTTTCTTTTAAAAATTATATATTTCCTAGCAATTGTCTTATTAGTTCTCTGCTAGGATAAACTCTCGTTACAGTTACCTGTACAACCAACATTCGGTACCATGCATCCTATCGTATCAACGATAGATAAAGGAGTAACAAATTTTCATTGTAAATATCAACGATAGATAAAGAAGTAACACATTTTCGTTGTACCAACGGCAGGTAAAGAACATAACTGGAAATCAGTACTAAATTTGTTTCACCAACAGGTATCAGGATCACGACATCTCCTTTAAATACCTTCTTGAAGATGACTCTTCGGTATCTTATAGTAAATTATCATCAGACATAGCGACTACCATTACAATAAATTATCACGCGTTACTGTAAGATGTTAAATACGTTGTAAACTATAATGCCACAAAACATGAGCTTATATAGAGCTCTTTATGAAACAACTGCAATCCTGTTATGCGAACATACCTGAAGCTTGTAACTTATAAATTACACCCATCTTTTCTCTATCGTGTAACCTTACAAAGACTCTCGCACTGCATCGCAGATAAAACATTCGATCATGCTGCACGTAGAGCACGAATGCGAGCTCCCAAAAGAGGAAGATGCCCTGTTTCTTCCTGGACGAGGACCGTTACAAAAATTACACGATCTGTTCCGTCTGTCATTGATGGCATCGAGTTGGAATCCAGCCGCACAGAAATATTTACGAAGCAGCGCGTCCATAGTGCACGAAAAGCGTCGCCAATTGCGGAATTACTCGTACATCATACACCCGTTCAGCATGTTTAGGTACGCAACACCATCGTAAGCTGTCGTCACGGTAGGAAACGCAGTAAATGAAAAGCGCCCGCGGTCGTGCAGTTTATAGGGTTGACTCGATGATGAATCGTCTCGTCAAAGCTTCCTACACGAGTCCACTGTGCTGGCGCGTAACGACCTGGTCCGTTGCAGGCATTACTGGGACATCCTGATGATTTTCGTGATCACCACCGTGTTGGTGCTGGTTCCGTATCAATCGGCCTTCGAAATGATTATGCGATCCCTGGCCTGGAGCGTCGTCAAAAATTTCTTGCTGCTTATGTGTTGCTTGGACATGGTGGTCAACTTCAGAACGGGGCAAGTAGACTAGCTGATTTGATATCGATAACAAGCTTTTGCGTTTCTTTCTATATTTTCTAATGGAGTCATCGATAAGGGGGGCCAGTTGCCCTATGAAAGGTTTGGTTAAGAAAGTAAGGATCCTCGTTTAGCTTTTGCTGATGCCTCGGTAATGTAGAACGCTCGGTTGATAAAACGAGTCGCTCTGTTGGCAATGCAGAAGACGCATTTAATCAATGAGGTTTCTGCATTACCGAGTGTTACCGACAGAATGAACTAGACTGCACTACACCTGTAAGTTACGACACAATTTCACTTTCAGATACTTGGATAAGGAAGAGCACGCGGTGATACTGGATCAGAAGAAAATAATGAAACGATACATCAAGTCCAGTACGTTCTTACCCGACTTCATAGGCTCCTTCCCAACCGATCTGTTTTTCCTGACCAAATGGCTCGAGTACAAGGTGTCCCGCAAGACGATATCCATGATCTGCATCTGTCGAGTGTTTTCCCTAAGCACGTACATAAGCAGAATGGCGTTTGTCTACGACATGCCGTTGGCTGTGTACGAGTTCTGCGTCATATTAGTCCTGCTGCTGTTAGCGTTGCATTGGCAGGCCTGCTTCTTTTGGCTGGTGCCTATAGTGGCGACTTCGATGGGGGTGCCCCAGCGTCCCCAAAACTCTTCCTGGATACACGGAGCGAACCTCTGGGAGGCCTCGAGGAGCCACCAGTATATGTCCTCCATGCTGCGTGCAATCGCCACGTTCTTAAGGTCTGGGCTGATTCGCACACACAAAAAGAACGTGGGAGACCTATACATGGTGATCTTGTTCCAAGTGTTGGGCATTCTGGCACCGTGGATCCTGGTGGCTCGCGTAATGCAGTTCTTCAAGGGTACCAACAGCTCGAAGCTCAGGTACCAAGGCACCGTGGCCCAGTTGAGGCAGTACATGAGGCACATGCAACTACCTCATTCAACCCAGAAGAGAATCATAGAGTACTACGAGTTTCGCTTTCAGCGTCGATTCTTCCGCGAGCCAGAGATTCTGCATACGCTGTCAGTGCAGATGCGCCACGAGATCAGCATGCACTCCTGCCGCAAGCTCGTAGAGAACGTCACCTTCTTCAACAACCTACCCCTCTCGTTGCTTGGACGCATCGTGGGGCTGCTGAAGTCAGAAGTGTTCCTCACCAACGACGTGATCGTGCGCGCTAATCAGACAGGTGACTGCATGTATTTCATCGCCACTGGTACCGTGGCCATTTACACGACCTCTGGCAAGGAAGTGTGTCACCTGCAGGACGGAGCCCACTTTGGGGAAGTCGCGTTGGTCATGCCCGACGAGATGAGGGTGGCCAGCGTGGTCGCGGTAGAAGTGTGCGAGCTTTATCGCTTGAATAGGGTAGACTTCGCTAGGACTATACACCCGTATCCTATGTTGTGGGAGCGAATCAAGCAGATTGCTATCGAGAGACACGAGAAAACTATGATCTTGAATGCACAGTGAATTGGTACCGTTGCACTTCTTGCATAGTCATTCTACTTTACTTGAATGACTAGAGGAAGTTGCGGTATAAGTCCAAAATATATGTTCTCACTTGTCCAATGTTATTTCAAGTTCCCTTTGTGTTCTTTATACAATGTTCTTTAATCCGGTCCGTAGCACCCGTTAACCAAATAGAATAATCCTTTTCAAACTATCATTGCACCTGTGATTTCAATATAGTGTCCGCAATACCAGGCTGCGGGAGATCTTAAACTCCGTTAGACCATCAAGTTCAACGAATCGTTAATGAACGCAGACGATAATAGCAGGGGAAATTGTTAAAGCTCCATTACATCTCGAAGATCTGATAACTGTTTCTCCCGGTCTGGCATTAGCTCCGAAGATTTATTGGCGCAATTGCGATCATTTTTGCGCGCGGTAACAGTAGACTAGGATCGAGAGGATCGCTATGCCCTGAACCGACAGGGCTGCAATTTTCAGCGCGAGCATGACCCGTTACGTCGAACGTGGAACACATGTGGAAATAAATCTGCGCATCGAAAGCGTTCGTCTTCAATCGTCCTTCGCTAACTGAGAAAGCAATTTCTTGGAATCTTAAAGGATTCACAATGTTGGTATTAACCGTTAGAGGAGTAAGCATTTTCGGAAATTACACACAGTTTATGAGTAAGCTTTATTCCATAATATTAACAATATTTTATTTCTTATGTATGTATATTTGACTGCACACTTTAATATTTACCTAAACTAGTAAGAAATTGTATATATGTTATTTATTTAATAATTATATTATTTGTATTATATATCATATTCACTTTTAAGTGGAAGTGGAATCTGAAAACATTTCATGTTATTATTCGATAAAGTATTTAAAACAGCAAATGTTAGGTCATATCATAAGTTCGTACTGAAGACTGTGTCAATATTTAATAAAGAAAAGATGATAAAATATTGCAAAATGAGAGAAATAACTCTTTTTTTATAACACTTAAGGCACCGATTCTTCCATGCTCGTCAAATAGTTAATATGAAAGTGGTGACAACTACGACTAATGTGTCCCGTGTCTTACCAACGCTGGAACATTCCCCTTTGGAACTCGAAACGCAAGACTGCAAAGATACAACTCATATGTAGTTGGTGTCTCAATCATCGAACATTGAACCCCTTCTGATTCAAGTATCTCTACGCGTCGTCAGATTTACTTGTAGTCTATTTTGAGCCTATTTCGAGAAAGATCAACTATGATCTGATAAATTATACAATCCGTTCCCGACGAGATGTGACTATATTGCTCAGAGACATCGCGCCTAAGGACTCCTCGATGCTTAGCTGGATCTAGTCGTCGTTATCGTCAGCGGCGAGGATGGAAGACTCGCGGCTGATTGTCCCTGCTGTCTCCGTATATTACATTCCAAATGCACGCTCGCAAAGGAATGGATCCGATTTACCCGCACGACGTCATGGCTTATCTGTGAGATTCGCGTGTCCACGACCGTTCCGACCGGTTCCGCTCGGATATCACCGTCGCCCGATCCAATGATACGCAGCCCGTTATTAATGAATACGGTTTTCACCGCGGAATCGTCGTTTTGTTTCCACCGTAACGAGATTTCGTGCGCGTTTCGTGCGCTCGGCTGTCCGCCAGGAATCAAGCCACCCGACGGAGGGCACCATCGTCCATCCAGGACGTAAATCATCGACACACGCAGCCCAGGTGGAATCTTTAATTGGGAATTCATTATCAGGGCCAGACTCGGCCATATATTGTGGCCATCGAACGATGATGTATTTATCCGCATCTCGTTCGCATTAAATCGCCAGGAAACGTCGAACAAGCTGAAAGCCCTGACTTCCGGTGGTTTTTATTTCGCTGAATTATACGTCTACTTCGTTTTCTTTGTAACTTTATTCGAATTAATGATGAATTACCAAAAAAATATAGCTTTAAATACATGGCATGGCGGTTGAGGGGAAGGGATGTTTGTTGAGAATGAGAAGGTGGAAGTCGGGGAGGACTCTAACCACTACATACATTGTATATACTGCAGGTGTTTGATCCCATTACCTGTTCACCGCTTAACGTTAAGATTAGAACGGTTCGGCGATGGTTTATTGCATGAGAAGCTGGAAGTTGATTCAGGGTAGGTACATATTTCTCTCTACTCAGGACTCCAGCATCGAGTGTGAAGACATTAAGCTTATAAGGTTATATACCTACATTTGGCGCTCAGTTGATCGAAGATCTGCAAGAATCGTTAGGTTCTTCACAGGTTAACAAGTAAATTACCTGAGAGCCCAACTCTGTGACACCATCCTACCCTGCCATCATCACTCTCACCCGCATCAAATTTCCAGAATCAACCATACCGACGAGGAACAATGTACACGACAAGGGATTAAAGCGAACCTCTGAAGAGAACACACCGTGTAGAAAACTCAGCTTCTAATTATAATCACGAAGTGTGTAATTTGCGCATAATTCCTTCGGTAGTGCCCCCGGAAACAGCGCGTATAAAACAGATCCCAAACCGCGTCACATCCTCGTCAAGTTTCGCTCCCACCCCCATCAACGACGAACGAACGAGAGAAAAAGCTTCCAAAACTATAAAACGGTGCCTCTGTTCTGCTCCGAAAAGCGACTCGCTCCAAATGAAACGCTCCTCGAGCCGCCCAACCGTACCGCGTGATCAGCGAGTCGCGAACGGGCGGGGGCGCCGATGGCGTTGCGGAGGGCCGCCCATTCCGGCAAAACAATGGTTTGTGCGCATCGACGCATGGGCAGAGATGCTGTGGCGGATGACAATGAAACGCTTAGGAGGGCTGGCCATTGTAATAGGTCGGCGATGCGCCTGCTTGGTAGCTCGGTGCCGTACGCGCACCGCGTATCCCTACCTCGAGGCGACGGCGAAATCCACGTTCGGAAAGAGGGACAGAGGGAAAGTCGGCGGGCGGTGAATACCGCGACCGAGGCGGGAGCGCGATAGCGCGTGACGGAGCAACGGAGAGGGCAGCACCTATTGTTATCAGCGAACGGAGCAGGCCAGAATCCGCGCGAGAAAGACGGAGCTACTGCGTTATCGGTGAAGGGAAGAGGATCGAGATGGTAGAACGCCCGCTACTGAACGCAACAAGGGGCGAAGAGGGATAAAGCGGGAATGTACCGAAGAGGAAAGGAGACGGAGCGGAGAGATCGTTGCGGCTATGGTTATGTGGCCACACCCCGCGGAGCCAGCCAACGGGCTCTCTGCCGACCGACGACCCACCTGACCCCACAATGGCCAGATCCGCTGGCACGAAGCACGCTCGCTGGATGCATTGTTCCTTCCATGCCCACTTGAGCGGCGTGCGCGAGCCCGAAAGGGGGACGATGGATGCACGAGACGCAAGGTAACCGAGGGTGCGTGAAAAAAGAGACGAGCGCTAGGGGTTGGACCAGTCGAACAGCGTGCACGCGTCCGTCCGCGACGAACCACCAGGACAAGCCACCAAGGATCGGAGGATGTGGCTCGAGGATGCTCTGGGACTTAGTCGTTAACGCGTTTAACGGAGTACGAGGCACGCGGATAGGGACGCTCCAATTTCCTTTGCATGCGATTTTGGTTAAGGAACTGACGAAGAAAAAGGATCCTGCGTCCCAGTTACTAGGCTAAATTACAGTATCACGAAGTAACAGTTCACAAACAGAGGCTCCCTTATCCCGTGGTACACCTCGATTCGCTCATTGTGAGCTTGCAACCCCCAGGAAAATATATACGCGGGATGCATAGACACTCTCGCTAAATGAAGTTGAGATTCTTGGATAATAACTTTTGAACAAAGTTATTTAACAGCTGTATAAGTATTAGGTTGTCTAAAGGAAAGTTCATGTCGATTTTTGGAAGGTGATACAGGTTCAAATATATCGGAATAGTTGAAAACAAATAACATGTATACATCCCTTAAAAAGTGGAAAGGTAACCTATGTAATTCAATAAATATATATCAAAATTTAAATGTGCCTTTGAATTTTTCTTAAAAATTAACACGAACTTTCTGGACAACCCAATATTTCTTAACTCCATTAGGAGCACCACTAGGGGGCAATCTCTCAAGCTCGGCGCAATACTCTTGTTGTACAATGAAGAGGTACCACCAAGGGGAAAATGATCCTAGCGTCGGTTGCTCTAGCTTTCATCACGTCCCACGACGTACCAACGTCCGATGAAACGATATCCTCGTTCCTTCTGTATCGTGTCTGGATCTCTGAAGGTCTTCACGCAGGTTCCTCATAGACGGAAATGCGGCACACCTATAGCAACAAAACCTGGCGACGGCGACCCTAGCTACGTTCTCCTCCACGGTGGGTCGATACTCTGCGGGCCACCACTCGCCCCCAACCTGCTCCGCGCTCTCTTCCAGTGAATCGCCTCTCTTTCTCTGTCTCTGTGCCTCTGTTGCGCGCGATCTCACTCCGTACCACCCCTTCCATCCTTCCTCTCGCATACCCATCTTCGCCCACCACATCGTACCGTTCTCTCATCCCTTTCGGTTCCCCCCGCCGCGTCCTCCGTTCTCCTCCTCGTCTTCCACCTCTTCGTCTAATCATCCACCTTCGCCCCGCCGCTACCCCGGCGTCTCTTTTGCCCTTCTCGCTGGCCCCGTCCATAGGTGTACCGGTTGATTGATCGTTTATCGATACGCCAGGAGAGACCAGCCTGGCGAGTTGCGGGTAGTACGTCCCGCCCTCCCCACCACCCAAGCATACGCATTACACATTTATAAGGGCGTTAAACACGAGCCACATCGACGGCATAGAGTGTTGTACGACATGTATATATATCCGTGTATCCTCGTTTTCCCTGTGCCACCCCCGCGTAGTCCTCCAGTCCGCTCCCGGTACACCGCCTCCTGCCGACCTCACCCTGCCGCCCTCGTCTTCCTTCCCTTTCCCACGCTTTGAAACCGACCGGCCGCCTAGCTAACGGAGCCCCCTGGATTGGTTTTCTATAGGAAAGGCCAT